CTTTCTCTTAGGAAGAATAGCAGAGTCGAATGTCATGGCTAAAGACTTAAAGGATGCATGTGGTGGTCTCTAGCTCATTAGTCTATAGCTCCTGAAAAAAACAGATGGATTGTACAACAGTTCTTTGTGATAAAACACTCAACAAACTTGAAATAGAAGGGAACTTCCTCCACCTGATAAAGGGCATCTATAAAAAAAATCCACAGCTAACATGATACATTATGATGAAGACTGAATCCTTTCCCTCTAAGAGCAGAAACAACATGAGAGTGCCCACTCTCACCACTGCTGTTCGGTGATTTATTGGAGGTTCTAGCCAGGGAACTTAGGAAAATGAAGCAGAAGGCACCAGTGTTGTAAAGGAAAAAGTAAAGATCTCTGTTCACAAATGACATTACCCTGTATATAGAAAACCTTTAGAATCCACAAAAAACTATTAGAATTAATAAACAAATCCAGCAGGTTGCAAGATACAAGATCAATGTACAAAATCAATTGTATTTCTATACACTTGCAGTGAGCAATCTGAAAATAAAATTAAGAAAACCATTCCATTTATAATAGTATCAAAAAGAACAAAATACTGAAGAATAAATTAAAGAAGTAAAAAATGTATACTCTGAAAATTACAAACATTACTGAAAGAAATTATAGATGATCTCAATAAATGGAAGACATCCTATGTTCATGGATTGGAAGAGTTAATGTTGTTAACATGGCAGTGCTCCCCAAATGGATCTACAGATGCAATGTAATCTCTATCAAAACTCCAGCTGGTCTCTTCGAATAAACTGATAAGCTGGTCCTAAAATTCACATGAAAGTTTGTGGGAACCAGAATAGCCAAATCAATGTTGAAAAAAAGAACAAAGTTAGAGAGCTCACACTTCCCAATCATCTCAAAACTGACTGCAAAGCTACAGTAATCAAGACAGTAAGGATAAATGTATAGATCGATGGAGCAGAATTCAGAATCCAGGAGTAAGTCCTCACATTTATGGTCAATTGATTTGCAACTGGAGGGTGGGGAACAATTCAAGGAGGGAAAGAATAGTCTTTTCAACAGATGGGACTGGGACAACTGGATATCCAAATGCAAAAGAATGACATTGGATCCTCACCTAACATCATACACAAAAATTAACTCAAAATGGATCAATGTAAGAGCTAAAACTAGAAAACTTATAGTTTATAAAACTGTAAAACATCAGGGTTAATCTTCATGATCTTGGATTTGGCAATGTCTTCTTAGAAATGACACCAGAAGTTTAAGCTACCAAAGAAAACAATTCAACTTATTCAAAATCTTAAAATCTTGTGCTTCAAAAGACACTATCAAGAAAGTGAGAAACCACCTACAGAATCGGAGAAAATATTTGTACATTATATATCTGATAAGGAGAGGGGGATGGCGCCAGGTTACAGCCTTGGGACCACGGCAGCCGCAGCCTGTCCCACTAGCCTTCCACTTACATCCAGAAAATGTGCCCAACCAGAATCCTGGGGAGGTTGACTTCAGTGCACTTATCGTGAGAGTGGGTGGGCTGAGGGTGGCAGGGCTGCAGGAAGTGCCCCAGCAGTGTGAGCTGGTGACTTGCAGCTGCCCCTTCCCTGGAGCATCAATGGTGGGAGCCGCCTTGGCCGAGAAGGCTGTGCACCCCAACCTCACTAAAGGGGGCCCCAGACCCCCTGGGCTAGAGTGGAACCAGTCTCCCCTCAGCACCCACCCCCACTCCCTCAGGTGCTCCCCCACCACAATCACTGATTACATCGCCATCACTCCAATGTTGCCTTTTTCAAAGTGTCCAATACATGCAGTCATACAGTATGTAGCCTTTTGAAAGTTGTTGTTTACTAAATACGATGTGTGTGAGGTTCATCCCTGTTGTTGCACGTGTTGCTGTCACTCTGGGCTCCTCCTGGTGTGCATGGACCCCGGACCCCAGCGTGTTCATCCATTCACCAGCTGATGAGAGTCTGAGTTGTTTCCAAGCTTTGTCGATAATGACTAGAGCTGCTCTAAACATTCACGGGCAGCGTCTTGTGTGAGCACAAGTTTTCATTTCTCCAGGGTGAATCCCAGGGATGGAATTGCTGGTACATGCGGTAGGTGTAAGTCTAACTCTGGCTGCCTTGTTTTGAACACCTCTTTCTCCTTCCTCTGTAGGGAGCTAGAGGAAGCCAGGCAGCTCCTTCAGCACCCGCGCTGGGCATCTCCGTAGCTACATCATCTGCCTCACCAGGTACATTTCCTATTTCCTGTTCTATGACAGGTGACAATGTTGCTAAACTTCTTGCCACTCCACAACAAGGGTTTCCTTCCCTCCATCTTCCAGTACATTCTCCTCACCTTCCCTAAGACCCACCATCAGTCTCAGCAGGTTCCTTCCCACTCCCCCTGCCCCCCGCTGCCTGGTCACAAAGCCAGTGCCCATGGTTTAGGGTTTGTATCTGCAGCATTGCATTCCGGTACCAGAACCCGTCTGGTTACCTAGAGCCCATGATAGCCACCTCACACTCAGTGCTGAGGACACCACAGTCACCTCCTATTGTTGCCTCTCACTGTTCTCACTTTCCGTCTCCTGCGATTGCAGTAGATGGTGGCTGGGACAGAAGCCACCGGAAGGCTGACTCACCCCTTGGCGGTGCTCCATACTGGCTGTTGGCTGGTCCTTAAGCTGGAGCTGCTGGCGGGAACTGCTCTGCCTGTCCTCTCCTTGTGGCTGCAGGCACCTCCTCGCAGCGTGGTGGCTGAGCTCGGAGAACAAGCATCCCAAGATGAGAGAGAGAAACTGTGTCACCCAGCTGTAGGACCTGGCCTCAAAAATCACAGTGTCACTTCTGCTGCCTCCTAGTGGTTAGAAGCGAGTCACTAAGCCAGCCCACGTTCAGGGAGAGGGGATTAGATTTCACCTCCTGAAGGGAGGAGTGTCAAAGTATTTGCTGACATCTTTGAAATGCATCACGGTGGGCTGCTTATCACGGTGGGCCGCTTATCAAGGTGGACTGGTGGAGACATAGGGTGTATGCAGAGGTGGACAGGTGGAGAGATGGTGCATCTACCAAGGTGGATAGGTGGGTAGGCGCCCCATTTATCAAGGTGGGGAATACCAAGCAAGGGATGGATTTTGAGATCTTGAGTCTGCCCCAGGCATGGTGACTGGGAGATGTTCATTGGTGGCTGAAATGGGACATGGAGCAGATACTTAGGGAGATGAGAGCCTGGAGCAGAGGGAGAAGGCAGGCTGGTGGTATCAGCTGGGGAGTCCTTGGCACAGAGGTGGTGTCTGAAGCTTCAGAAATGGGGAGGGATAAAGGAACAACCAGGGCCCAGCCCTTATGACCACTGACCCTGTAGCCCCCATCCTTGAGGAAATGACTTCGATGGGTAGTGGACCCCCAGGTGCCTCTCTGATCTAATGGTGAGCACATGGTTCTGCGAGGGAAGTTGGCTGGGAGAGGTTTCCAGGGTCACCCAAAGGGACACGTGGGAAGAGATGGGAGCTCTGGGGCAGTGGCAGCCATCTTGCGACCATGAGGTGGCCCACTCACAGATATGGTGGCTCCTTCACAGAGCTTCCAGATTAACAGATCCTGGGCAGTCCTGGTGTCAGGACTCTTATGACAGTTGAGTCAGCAGGTTCTGTCACTTGAAGTCCAGAGTCCTCACTGACAACAGAGTGGAGTCAGCAAGGGAGCTTGAGGAAGGGTGTGTGAGGTGGGAGGAGAAGCATGAGACCGTGTGTTGCCCCCCTAATGGTACCTGCCATTCATGGAGGCCCCTGCCCAGCGGGGTTCTAACCTCGCACACAGTAACTGGTTGAGCCCTCCAAGCACCTGAGAGTTAGGTCGCTATTATTATGCCAGTTTATAGATTGGGAAACTGAGGCACGGCGGGGTGGTGGTGGTGGTGGTGGTGAAGGAACCTATCCCGCAGCCAGGAAGTGACAGCTGGGGCAGAAGCCAGGCCGTCTGCTGCTCTGTCCTGTGAGCCACACAGTAACTTTTCAGAGGTCCAGAGAAGGCCTTCAGCAGAAGTCCTGGCCAGCTGTCCGACACTGCTTAGATGAGGATGAAATGGTCTTCCTGGAATTTGGCAAAGTGCAGGTCACCGACAAAGTTGTGCAGAATGACCTGGAGGGATGGTGTGGACGGAGCTGAGGAGTGGGCGTGTGGACACAGGAGTCAGCTCCTGAGAAGAATGGCTGTGATGAGGGTGGGGAGGGGGTGGTAGTGATTTGGGGTGGATTCTGGGAAGTACCAGAAAGCAGATGATAAGTTTCCCCAGAGCACATAAGTGGGGCCTCCGATGGGGCCCAGGAGAAAAGGCAAAGAATTGGGGGCCCAGGGCAGTGGGGCTGCGGGTTTGGTGATGAGCAGAGATAGCTTCCCGCCCGCACCCCCGTTTCCTCCACGAGGTTGAGACCCGGGCTCCTAAGTATGTGTGTGGAGGGGGCGGGGGAATTTGGGCCGAAGTGCGGTGGGACTGCGGGGTTGCTGAGGGTATTGGGCCCCATTTGAGGTTGGAGCTCAGGAGTTTGGGGGCCAGGAGACTGTGCAGTTTGGCGGGGGGGGGGGCCGTTCTCCAGACTTGCTCTTCCGCCTGGTAGGTCCCCGAAGGGGACAAGGAACCAGCCCTGGTCGCGGTGGCTACAGGACCAGGGCACCCAGGAGTTGGGCCAGGAAGCGGCCCCGCGCCCAGGGGCTGCCGTGGTCCGGGCGTCCTCGGGCCTTTGCCCACGCCGCAGGGTTGGACCGGGGGCTGGCGGGCACTGGAGGCGGCCCTGCGCGCCTCTGCCAGCCCTGCGAGTCGGGGGCATGGACTCACGGCGCAGGGCTTCCTGCGACCGCTCCCGCCCGCCTCCGCCGCCGCCGGGGATTAGCACGCTCCTGGCCGCGCGGCGGGATTAACCCGCGTGGACGCGGCGCTCGGCTCGGGGATTACGGCGCGCCCCCCCGACGGATATATTCCCGCGGTGACGGCGGCGGCGGGCGGGAGGAATGGCGGCGGCGCGGGGCGCGGTGGGACGCAGGGGTCCCGGGCGGCCCTGCCCCTTCTCCATCGAGCACATCCTCTCCGGCCTGCCCGAGAGCAGCCCCCCGGCCCGGGTCGTCCGCCCGCCGCCGCCCGCCGGCCGCCAGAGCCCCGCGGAGCCGCGGCAGCCTGAGGCGCCCGAGGCCGTGCCCTGCGCCTGCTGCTGCTGCTGCGGCCCCCGCGCGGCGCCCCGCGGGTCCCCGGAGCC